ACCAGCATCTTCACTCCAAAGTGTAGAAACCATGTATTTATTAAACTGGAAACCAGAAGACACAGTTCCACTGCATTTTCCCAGTAAGATTCGACGCCCTCTCTGCCATTTTCTGCACCTTGGAGAGTAACTGTATTTGTCATTAGCGCCTTGGTGGATGTGTTAAGCTTTAGAGGAAAAAAGCCAAAATATGTTTGCTTTATGATTTCGCCTAAATGAACTACTGTGAATAATATTTACAGTTTTTTATTTTTAAAAAAGTTCCTCTGTATCATAGAATTAACTGACAGAGTAAAATCCAGTATTAAATCTGGAAAGATTTCATCTAATACCTTTACTTGTTACAAATATGCCTTAATTTTAATCTGATAAAACTGTATTCTTTATTAAGCCCAAAACAGTCACGAACAGAATTATTTCCTCACTAGTAAATATTTTAATAAAATAAAAATCTAACCTATGAAGTAAGGTAACAATTCTGGGGAAGATGGGGCTGGTTATAAACAGCATAGCGTTATAATTTCAATGTTGATTTCCATGTACTAGAGGGCTTAATAATGTTAATAGTGAAGCAAACACAGTTCCTCATTAAATGTCCTAGATTTGTCCTTCGATCCAAGTTTATTTTTTGGACTTCATGACAGATGTTACAGTTGCCAGTATATTCATGTTTCCGTGCGTCTTTCAGAAGGCTTTGCAGATGAAGCCGTTGGGTCTGATGTATTTGCTTGTGCTGATGCCGCACCCACTTCACGTCATATGCGGGGGTCAAACACAGAGTACCTTAAGTTTTTAGGTTACGCTTCACATCACTTGTGCTCTTCTCCAGATCTCACACTTGTGTCACATGCGCGGGGGGCACTCCCCTCACATTACCTTTGCCTTCTTTCTTCAGTAGTATAAACTGAGGAACCCCAAAGTCTAGTCTTTCTTGAAGCGTTGCATAAATGCTTTATGTCAGTTGGTTTATTTCTCTCAAGCTTCTTAGTAATTAATTTGTTGGTTAATTATTTCTTAATCTTCTTAAGATATTTCCTGGTATTGTATTTTGTCTTGGTACAAATTGCATCTTTTATATTATTGAGAAAACTTGGTCCAAGAAAATAAGGAGATATGCAGGGTTGAAGTAGTCTCATTCTTAGTTGGTAAGGCTAACTGGACATCTGAACTATTTTTATTAGAAAATTATGAGAGTTTTATATAACATTGTTTGAACGTTTATCTCTTCACAGAATTCCTAATTTAATTTTATGAGCTTTAATTTGAAAGGAAACATTAATCTTCCTTAATTTAAAAGCCAGTTAATGAATTTGAAGTGTCTTAAATAAAACTATGCTTCTATTCTATGAAAGCAAATAGGAAATAGTCAAAACAAAATCTTTTAAGGGCCTTCTAGAACTAAAGTTGGAATACGAAGGTAGAAGATCGGATAATCTGATTTGCCTTTTTTATTTGCAAAGCGTTTGATATATTTTAAATTAAACACTTAAGAAATCAACGCTGGGACATCAGTGTGAGAGCCTTTTATGTAACTTACTACAATGCACGTTAGCCTGCCAGCAAACTCTTAAAACTCCTGGACACTGGCTCTCTTCTCTTCTGGCTTCTCTCCGAGTCGTGTCTTGGCCACTGTCCAGAGCTGACAACTCTCGCCCAGGAGCAGAGGGAGATTTGTCTGGTGTAAGAAGGATTTTTGAGTCATCCTTGATTTTCATATCCAGATGGGCGAGGAAGAAGGGTGGCAGAACCATTGTATGCTCTTGGGTGATGTCATGGAGCCACACATGCACCAGGACATTAATTTACTCACACTGGTGGATTCTGAATGTCCTTAGACGTGCTTAATGAGAAACTGTAATGTAACGCCTTCCAAGCTAGCCGCAAATTATGTTCAGATTTACATGTGAGCAGTTGATGCCCAAATACCTTTAATTCTCCATCTCCAGCTATAAACGGAAGGCACGAGGGATTGGGCATCTTTGTTGTGCACATAAAACTCTTACATCTGTTAGGACGAAAGCGTAGAAGCTGCACTGTGAAGCCCACTGCTCCAGTCGTTGTGCTGAAGCTCTCTGAACACTGCTGGTCCTGTTACAACAGTTGGTTTGCACAGTGTTCTGCTAAAGTGAATCGTGATCACTATGCACTTCGGGGTTTTCTGAAGCTGGTAATTTTGGATTCTCTTAAGTAAATTGACTTTCACTTATCTGAGGAACCATTTAGTATTAATATTATCATTTGAAAGACTGTCTGACAAGAACGGTTGTAGGTAAGGTTACATCCACAGATTATGTCCATTGTGCATTGCGGATGTACGGAAGTGGTCTGTAACACAGTTTGAACACTAAGAAAACGTGCAGCTATGTGACCAGCTATCTTCTGTGCTCCTGTAAATAACCCCAACACTGAATGAGTTTATCATTAGATATTATTCTTATACAATTTCCATTGCATTTTATTCTGTAGATGTTTTTCAGATATCTGTACAGTTTTCACAGTTAATCAGTTTTGCTATATTAAATAAACTATTTGGCAAAATACTGTGCAGAAATCAGTAAATGTAACTCTGTATAATATCTTACATAACAGTATGATAAAGTTCATCCTTGCTCCAAATCTGTGTGAAAGCTTTAAAAATAGAGTTAGTTTGTAGTTAATAGCTGTGATATGAACCTACAGAACTTATATATAATAAATATATGAATGAGTTTCTTAGAAATTTTGAAATACAGGCTGTGCATGCCTTTTCTGTTTGAAATTAATTAGCTTTCCTCTTTAAAATACCCACAAAGTACCTTAAAAAACCCAGAAGGTTGAAAAATACAGTTTCTTAATTTTAATTATTAATCATTAGTTTATTAATGATTCATTATTAAGGTAAAGTGAAGGAAGTAAATGTCAAGTTAACCATTTAAATGCATAGCATCTGCTTACATGTTACTGGAATGAAAATCACTCACTCCAATTCCTGTTAACCCTTATAATTTTAGTATTCATAAGAGTGAGAAGGTGCTAGTCTATATAGCTGAGATCTTGAAGAGTTGAGTTTGAACACAAAATGCCTTTTACCATTTTAGATTCAGATATTCAGATACAGAGACTTAGTGTTGTCTTTATAGATAAAAGGAAATCTGACCTTTTAGGTTAAGAAATATTGCCAGTAGCCTTTGTAAAGTGCTTGTTCATCTCTGGGTCCGTGACAGAAGACCTCTTCCCAGTTGAGTTTATACTAAAAACGGAATGATAGGAGCCTGCTGGTTGTGATCCAAGATTCTTCTCCGTGGGGGAGCCACATGGTTTTTCTCCGTCTCCCACTTGTTCTCACCCTCTCTCACCAACCCAGCCGTACCCCACCCCCACCCCAACATTGTTCAGGCCCCAGCACAATGAATCATTTTCAAGTTGACTCTTTGGGAACTGTCTCCCAGCTGTTGGAATGTCTGGCAGACATTTTTGTTTGGGTGAAGAGTATCTGGCTGAAGCCCAACCTGGGTGCGTCTGATATAATGGTCTCTGGCTAGAGAAATATTGAGAGGAGCACGCTGATGGTCTTTGAGCCCCTGCTACTCCTGGAGTAGGACCATCCCCCGTGGCACAGGACTGAAAGGAGTCAATCCAGATTATTTTCTCACCACTGAATGAAAAAATCGCCTACGGAAAAAAATAGGCATTTCCAAGTGATGTCTGCTTTCCACACTTGGTATGCCCACGTGATTGAAAGACTGAAGACAATTAAGGGAAGTCGATTTTACTGGCCCTTTTTAGAACTGGTTCAGAGGCTGAAGCTTTCTTTATACAGCACCTGTTCCTTCTGGGAGGGATCACAGCACCACCGTGGAAGGTTTGGTGCCAACGGTACTTCAGTCCTCGCCTGGAAACCCTGACCTGCCCTCTGTTAAAACTTTCATTCCTGTGCAGTCTTTGTAAAAGGACTCAAGAAATCGGAGCCACCAGCATGGTCAGTAGCCATTCGTGTCTGCACAGCGGGAAAACCCTCCCTTGTATGTGGCCTCCTCTTTGCCAGAAGAAAGAGCATCAACATGATACACTGTCTTGACTGTTCTACATTTCCCATCCTTTTCCTCAAAGATTACTTTTAAACTAGTTATACATTGGCATTACCAGTGTATAAAAGGGGGGCTTCATAATTACAGTCTTGTACGAACTCTGGGTCTTTAGAGTAGTGTTGTTATACACATCAACACGATTTTCTGACCCACCACCCTGTCAGGGACTAAAAGGAACACTGGAATGTCATTAAATAATTCCAAGAACCAGCTGGATAGCTGATAATTTCGTGTTTACAGCCAAGAATATCTGGCTATTGTAGAGCTTTTACTATTTTTGACAGGACACACTCTTTGGAAACAGCACTATAGTATTTAACGGGATTTGAATTCAGCGTGACTGTGTTGGGAAGGACAGAGCAGGCTGTGGGTGCGAGAGCTGGTCATCCGCCATCTTCCCTTTTCCTCTGTTGTTAGCACAGAGCCCCGAGGCAGCGTCAGGGAGAAGACAGGCGCCTTGCACACTTGGTGGGGTCTCCTGGGTCCAGTGTGTCACAGAGGCGCTCAGCTGCTCCTGGGCTGAGACTGGGAGGGACCCTTGCCTTATCCTGGACACTGTGCTGTCTCCTGCTTCTGAGTCCTGTTGTCTGCAAGATTTTCCAGTGGGCAGTGGGCCAAGTAACTGGAAAAATAACAACAGAGAATGAAAATGAGGGTAGCCTTGCTCCTGAAAGCAAATGAAAAATAATTATGTTTCCTACCAATTTATGTTTTCCCCTCGGCTCTTCAGTTAGAGTAGCATATCTGTGCAGGTTGAAATTTTCAGTCAAGAGCACATTTTTGTCCAGTTTTCAGCTGGTAGCATCTTTAATCTTTATGGTATTTCCCTATTGTAATAATCTGTCTCCACTATAACTTATTATCAAGATGTCATAGTGGCACTGTATAGATGTTACATGTTTAAACATAAATGTTTCCTTCCATGTTTTGCAGAATAAAGCGATCACTGCTCGTGTTAAACACTTGTCAGATACAGTAGTGGGCCTGGAATCGTTCATTGGCTCGGAGAGAGAGACCAGCGCCCTCTGCAAGGATTATCATGGTAAGTGTCACCTGGGCACAGGGGGCCCTGGCTGCCTGAGTCCCTGCGCAGTCCACACCTCGTGGGGCAGCATGGATGTCACCTCACGGTAGACCCATCAGTGCTCCTGGTCCCAGCCGGTCTTCTGCGCAGTGCACCATCAGACTGCGTGAGAGCCAGAGGCTGTGTGGACTGAGGGGAGTCGGCCAAAGGTCTGAGGTCTGGCTTAGACGCACGGGGGCCTGTGGCTGCCGCAGTCACTGAAAGCTGCCGCTGCGCACTCAGTTGTACTTCTGAACCTGTGCCGGAAATAAGTTTCATGTTAATTCTCATCGTGCAAGTTGAATACCCCTAACCCAGAATCCAAGCTCTGAAATGCTTCGAGCCCTGGAGCCCTCGGGGCCCACGCACACCCAGCCCTCAGCTCTGGCTTCAGAGGGCTCTGCCTGGGGTGAACAGGTACCTGCCGTGCCTGCCCCCCACTAGCATAGGAGTCCCTCTGGCGTTTCACTTACATGCCTGAAGATTTGGCTTTAACTGAGCGGTTTTGCTGCTGGAGATGAACTCAGGGCCTCTGCGTGCCAATATGTGCTCTCCCATCAAGCCACACCCTAAGCCCTACATTTTTAAGTTTTTAATTACTTTAGCCATTTGGTTAGTTGGAGGATTTTTTAAAAATAAAAATTCTTGCACAAAAGCATTTGAATTTTGTTTTGTTTTGTTTTTGATACTGGGCATTGAACTCGGGACCTTGTACTTGCCAGGCAGGCGGCAGCACCACTGAGCTAAATCCCAGGCCCTGCATTTGAATTTTAAAAGTTTAGTAGTTGCATGTGCACTTGGTCTAAACTCCACATAGAATAAGGTAAATAACCGATTTTTTACCTATTGATTGTTGTATCCTAAATAAAATGTAAGTTATTGCTGTTACTATCGTAGAATTACTGTACTTCTCTAGAAACTTCTAGGCTAATAACTCAGAAGCTTCTTTGAAGTCTGTTACTTCAGTTTTGTGAGTCTGTGAAAGTTATTTTGTTGGTACACATATTAGAATATACACAAAATTATTAAAGAGCATACTGATCTAATTAGCCAGTGCTTTGAGTTTTGAAAATATAGCAGTCAGTTTTTTTTTGTTTTTTTGTTTGTTTTTAGACAGGGTCTCACTGTGTAGTTGAGACTGACCTGGAACTCACTATGTAGCCCAGGTTGGTCTCGAACTCACAGTGATCCTCCTGCCTCAGCCTCCCGAGTGCTGGGATTACAAGCGTGCACCAACAGGCCCAGCCAGTACTTTTTTTTTAAAGCTGTGAACAGAAATTCTCAACAGTAATGTGCCTCTTGCTTGTTCTCTTCGCTGAGTGCCCTTGGCTGTGCCTAGTTTCTCCCTCATAAAATTCATTCCATGTGTCATTTTTGCTATGATTTAAAGAGATAGACCAAGATTTGAGTGTTTTTAAATTTGTTCTTCTTCTTTTAATGCAATACAAGTTGAATATCATCATTATAAGTTATATATTGTCATTTATAAGTATTACAATGATTAGCTTATTAACTTAGTGAAACTATTTTATATTCTGAAAATACTATTTTCTTTCTCTTTTGGTACTGGGGATTGAACTCGGGTCCTTGTGCTTGCAAGGCAGGCCACCGAACCGCTGAGCTAAATCCCCGGCCAGAAAATACTGTTTTCATGGGAGCACCTCACAGATTCAGGGACTGTGCATCTTGGTTCAGATATCTGAATTGAGAATTATTCCCCAGAGTCACAAGTAATTCTGATGACTAGTACACTTCGGTTAACGAGAAGACCTTGCCGGTGAGATCACTCCTTCATTCTCTAAGGCCTCCTGACTTCATGGCTAAACAAGTGCCTGGAAGGCTAAAAGGAGAGATGTGCACAAGTACCATGCACTTACTTCTAATGTATTTTACCAAATAAGTATGTGTGGGGTATTTTTAACTTATAGCTAGAAATTATTTTTTCAATAGTGCCTTCTTTTTTTTTTTTTAATTTTAAAAAATTTAGTTAGCTGTGTTAGTGAATTCTATTTGCAGGGATCGTTTCTAAAGTGAGGTGCCCGGGGTTCACCCTTGTAAGCTAGAGCAGACCCCTGCGTTGCTAAGCTTGGGCACACACAGCACCTTGGAGTCTGTGTGTGCTGGGCCTGCAGGGTTCTCTGGCCCTGGTCAGGTGCATCCTGCAATAGTGGCTCCCAAGCAGGAGTCGCGTCCAGCAGGGAGGGGCACCGAGGGCCTGGTGTGTCCTCATCTGTGGGAAATGACCCTCGTTCTGTCAGAAGCGACATCGGGCTGCACAAAGCCATCTAGTGCCCTTGTCAGAAGGAATTAGCAGGCGTTGCCACTGACGAGAGTCCAGGCTTCTGGTTTACGTAGCGCCATCACAAAGCCTGTGACGGCCCTGTGAAGATCTGTTGGCCTGGCCGTGGAGAGGAGCGTCCCGGAGGCCAGCCTGAGGTCCACGCAGGGCCCACAGTGGGCTCTGAGTTGCAGTCTCCCTCCACGGTGTGCCCAAGTCGCTAACAAGGCGCAAAACGCAGTACTTTTTATTAGAGCTTAAAACGCAGTACTTTTTATTAGAGCTTCGCTGGTGATCAGTAACCCATAAGCCTTGTTTTGCTGGCTGCTTACTGGTGCATTTAATAAAATAAAGATCACTCAGTGGTGCCGTGGGCAGCGTGCAAGGTGATAGCCATATTTGCTTACTGTAAATACAAGGGAAAATCACACACAGACCGGCTGTAGTTTTGACAAGAATTAAGATCCCTCTTTACATCTGTACTTGTGTACCAAAGTGCAATTAGTTTTCCTCGCACAAGGATTTCTGTTTATCTTATTCTGCCTGATTACTTGAGTACAATCACACCATTTGCTTCAGTGCTTCTGGTAGTGAGCCCCGGTTTTAAAGGGAGAGGGCTGCGTGTAAATTTACAGGATTCTGCTGTGAGACTTTAATTTATGCATCTGATGACAGTGTCTTAAAATTTTTTTTCTTTTAATTTTCTCTCTGCAAGGTTTGATTCATATTCGGCAGATTCCTCGGCTTAATAACTTGATTTGCGATGAATCAGATGTCAAAGACTTAGCTTTTAAGTTAAAAAGGAAGCTATTTACCATTGAGGTAAGGGAATTTTTATTTTTTAGTTTATAGTCTCGAGGTGAATGCTGTCTCCTCTCTTTCTCTTTCCCTTTAATGGAACTCTTAAGACATGTTTTGTGCTAAATACTACGTTCTCTTGATGTAGCACACAGGATAGGTTTTTACTATCCTTTCATTTTAAATGGTTTACCATTAGAGTATAGCAAAAACGATTTTGTCCTAAATGTCTGTTAAAAATAAGCTCCAAACTTTCGTGATAAATATGACGTGCATATTCTCCAGGCTTTCAGAAGCATATTTAATTAGATGTTAATGAGCTGTGCTCACTGTGTGTGGAATGTGTGTGCTACCCATGGTTGTGTGTGATCCACACCCTGAAAGCATTTTTCTTTACTACTAGTGAAATTACCTTTCCCTTTTACACACCAGGTTAAACAAAGTGTAATTCATTCAGTGGCCTTAGGTAGATTTCCTACACTGCGAAAACTTTTTTGTGACCTTGATGCAAGCGGTGATGACAGAAAGTGGCAGTACAAAAGATTTATTTCAGCTTAATCTTGCTGAAGAGCAAATGAACGCAGCACTATTAAGCAATTAGAGTCGATGTATTTATTAACGCAGTAAATGTTCGGTGAGAGGTGGCTTTTGGCTGATGTGATAGTTATCAGAGTCGGCACAGTTTTTTTTTTTTTAAACAAAGACATAAAACAGCCAAGCAGCCTTGACAAACCATTTTGTTTAATCTCTTTTCAAATGAAAAGCTCTTAAGCAGGCCACTTGTCTTAACTGCTTGAAACCATAAAAAGAGAGAATTGCCACCAATAAATTAGCATATTTTTAACTTCATCACCAAATGATGGTCAATGCGGCTTGGCACCGCTTTGGTGTTCAGGACTTCACCCTGAAGTGACCACTTTGGCCCTTTTCTGACCCTCTGCCCTCTCTGAGCTGGCCACTTGATAAGGTGACTTAATGGTTCTCTCTCTTTCTCTCTTTCCCTCCACATTTGCAAGTAGCACTGGCCTATAAATCATTGTAAGGGCCCTATCCGGTGACAAATTAATGTGCCCTCCTCCTAATTAATGGTCATCAATGCCCTTAATTATCTAATCCTTTTGAGAGCAGTTAATAGTTAATCAGGCAGCCCGTTCTTCAAGCAGGCCATCTCCGCAGGAGTGTCAGAAGTTTCTCATGTGGGAGACTCCCTCCAAAGCCACTTAACGCCAGGAAAGCCGGAGTGGAGAAATGGTGATTCTTGAGCTAATTTGCTTTAGTTCTCAAAAGAAACCATTGAAATGGAACCCAGCACTGTAATGGTTCACACACTGTTTCGGCCCTTCTGACAGAACACTGAGCGAGGGACCGTAATTTAAAACCTTTAGAAGGGTGCATTTCTGCTTTACCATCACTGGGAAAGCGTCCTCACCATTCTCTCTCAAGTTGAATTTGTAGTTTAAATGAAAGATGTAAGTTCTTTTCCTCCATGAGGCATCCTTTACCCAAAATCAGTGTTCTGATGACCAGTCTGAAGTATCATTTCTGTTACCACACAAAGCAAGAAGCTCCCCACTGGGAGAAAATTATTGTGCTTATAGAAGAAAGTTGTACAGCAGATGGAGCCATGTTTGCGATCGCTCTTGCTCTATCCCTGGGTCCCCTGGAGTTGGGCTGGCAGAGTGGCAGCGGGTAGAGCAGCTTCACAATCACCTGGTCCGTGTAGGCGGTGTGGGCTGTAGTAGAGGCTGCAGCACCTTCGGGGCTGTTGAGAGACCCTTTACCAGCCACATGGGTTTCCCTTCTCCAAGAGAAGGCAAGAGAACCAGTGTACTTGATTACCTTGTGGTTTGGAAGCAGTATTTGAAAACAAAAGAAAAATAAACAGTTATTTCTATAAGAAGCCAATATTCAATGTTGATCAGATTCTTTGCTTTTTTTTTTTTTGTCTTACATCCTGCTCAATAAAGATGTAATATTTTTAAACTAGAAATATAGGTTCAACCCATTTAAAAAACACATACTTTCTTATGCTGTAATGTTAAATTTGGTGATTAGAAATATACAAATTGAGGAAGCAAACAAACCTAGTATCTAATAATAGCTGTATGTACTGTACAAGTCCATAGAGCTACACACAGAAGACAGTCATATGGTTACCTAAGATTAAATGTTTTCATTGTAGCACTGTCTTATAAAATGCATATCCCAAGAAAGCACAAGTCTTTGGTGACACAAACTAGACACAGGAGGAGAAATGGTCCGAAAGTCATTGGTTCAAGGAGTCCTTTGCTGTGGGGAATCACCCGAGTTCCAGTGTTTTAATATGCAGTGAATACGTTTTTGGTGCCCTGACGTTTTTGAGTAAAATGTGCACTCAGCCATCCTGTAAAATGTGAGACTGTGACATGGCGGGCAGGGTGTGTGCAGCCCTCTCAGAAGCAAGGCGGTCTGGCAGGTGAAGCAGAAGGTTCCGACTGCGTGCCGGCGGAGGTGTCACAAATTGGGCTTTATTCCCAGTCCTGTGGCCTCAGACGCAAGCACAGCTGGAAGTAGGGACCCAGGGAGCAGGCAAGTACCCTCCACCCAGTGTTGAAGGCGCTTAAAAATAGATTTAGTCATTGCCCTTTTTAAGTATGAAAACTGATTAATTATTTACTAACAACTCCAAGGGTTTGTAACAGGTAGTGCAACTTGACAAGTCTCGAATTTCTTTGAGTGATTTGGAGAAGGCAGGAGAATAGCTTTTCCTTCTTAGAATGTGTGTTGATATTGTGATTCAGGGGGAAACGTTCATCTGATCACACACAGTAAGTTATTGCTGTGCCTCTAACACACCGTTGTGTAAATTAGCCTCCATGTAGAAGCCGTGGTAAAATCACGTCTACACTAAGGACCCCAGAATCCTGGCGCACATTCTAAATAACTCTGTCCCAGACTCGGAGTAGGGCCGTTTATTTAGCAGGCATAAACTCTTTGCTGAACTTCATGTAATCCCAAGCAGTTAGAGTGGAGTTTTAAACACTCCAAGCAATGCATCTCTGCGTACCACATAAGCCCTGCTGGCCGAATGATCCGAAAGCACTGCCTTCAGTGGTGGCCCAGAGTTGCAGTGCAGAGGAGCAGCTCAGAGCTCGCATTGCTTTACTTCCTGTGATATTTACATCTTTAATGCTGGAATTATTACAGTTTCTTCTTTACATTATATTTTGATGAAATTATAATACATAAACAAGTAGGATTTGAAAAGTGGCTGCATTTAATTTGAGGACATTGTAAAAACAGCATTTTCACTAGCATGAATATTATTTTGCTACTTTAATTTTTTATTTTCTAATACAAATAATAATGACATATTACTCCATGAGTTGCAGCTTCTATCAGTTATTACAAAGAAGGTTTCCGTGTTTTGTGGGAGTTTTTCACTCCCAAGTTTCAGTGTTTTGAAGCAAGTCAGGGTATGGTAACTGGGTTACTCTGAAATGTACAAAAGACACACACTGTTGACTACGAACTTTCAATACAAAGTTGAACAGTAATTATACAGGCTGTAATTGGTGCAGGGGTGATCGTTATCATCAGTAGTGTATCTGTGGGTCCTGAGGCCATCTTGTACTATGTTACACCTAACTCAGGATACAAGGCCTAGTGTTTCTGCAATCACCAGAAGTTTTTCTCGCAGAATAACTAGCTAACCAGTTTTTATGAACTGGCTATTATTTCTGGTGCACTGACTCATTCTTGAAATATTAAGACCAGAATCTAGGTGCTGTCTGTGTAAATTAGCTTTGTAAAACAGTATGTTGACTTGATTTGACTCCGTAGAATGATTTGAAATTTTTACACTTTGGGAAAGCATAAAATTCTTGCTGACTCCTAGTCACCATGATAACATTTAACAGTTTGGAGTGTCACATGATATGTGTAGTCTCAGATTTACTTCCTCCTATACTTCTGTTTTCCAGAACCTTTTCAGTTTTTAGGTGAGATGTAGAAGGGTGAATATGTGTTACTGTCTGTAGAGACGAAGCGAGAGGGTGAACTTGTTAGCTCACAGTCACCTCATCAGAACGAGATGCAGAAGTGAGGAGCTGGGCTTGGGAGCCCACAGGGTCAGCAGCTTGGGCCATATCGTCTGACGCACCTGTGCTGCTAAGGGTGCCCTGTGCAGGTACTGGTTACTGTCTCAGTTCTGTGCTCCTAGGTACGCTACAGTTATCAAATAAATAAGTAAAGCGAGAGTCGAGCAGAGGCCCCTGTGGGTGGAATCATTCGTCAGAAGTAAACCCAGAGAATCCGTGGGTGCAGTAGAGCCTCCTGCGTGTTCAGACTGCGGTGTGTGGCTCCACCCTCACCCGCATTGTCACTGTGACACCAATGGGCAGTGGCACCGTGCAGGTGCCTGGCCTTGCTGCCCATGCCCCGTGTCCTGGATCTGTCCAGAAGTGTGTACCACCTTAACGGGAGCAGTTTGGGGACTGGCTAATCCTGTTCCCACTTTGGAATCTTAATTGGAAGAGATAAGGGGAAGAAAAAAACATCATTTAACTAAATTATTGTCTTGACTCTGTAACAGAGGTATAATCCGCAATTGGGCCAATTAGTGAGGGCCTGGTGGCTCCCAGCCGCGAGCACTTGATGAGGTCTGACCCGCCCGGTTCCCACTGCTGTGCTGCCAGGTAAGACGCGGGACTTCAAAGGCCCAGGCGTCAGCAGGGCAAGTCTTGCAGGCCAGCTTAGGTCCGGCAGTTAATCTCCCTGCTGCACCACAGCGGCTCTCACACAAAACCCGCTTACACGACACAATCACGCGGCATTAAAGTTGGAGTTGAGTGGTGCCAGTTTGCCTTTGATTTTTTGTGGATTGTCCGGAGATGGCTACATGACTGGACACATGCTGAAAGTGTACTGATTAGGTAATTTCCCAAAATACTTGAAGTGTTCTCCAGCTTCCTATATAAATGTTGTAGGAGCTTATTCCTTTTTGCTTGGTCTTCCAGAGGAATAGTACCTGTCCCAGGCAATAA